AGCAAATTACCGTATTTCTTTCTTCTAGCACTCTTTTCATAATCTAAGCAAAGACACAAAACATTGTACTGATATGCAGCATTGATACACTCTCATAAACAGAAGTTATACTTTGCATAAAATAATGCAAAAGTAGTATAAAGTACTATGGAGGTATCATTTGATGGTTGTTTTTAATATTTTGCATGTGTGAATCAATCAGAACCTGAAGTAATACAAAAATACAATAATCTTTGCATGAAAAACCAGGGGTTCATGTCACCATTTCTATCACTGGAAAGGCAAACAGTAGCAGTTTTATCACCTTAGATGAAAAGCTAATGAAATATGGTATTGTTTATAAACTATTCATTACAAACCAAATCTTGCAACTTCTGCTTTCTAATTTTACAATCAAACCTTTTATGATGCTTTCTAATATTCTTAATTACTGATTCATAAAATGAAAACATTCAAACTGATTATAAAATCTCTTTCAGATGACAGACACTAACAGAATTAACACTGAATTGATTTACATCAGTACCTACCAGTATCTACATTAGTACCTACCTACCAGTACCAAACTTGCCATATTCAATTGCTTATTATTTTAGCTGTTCTATCTTTTACTATATTACAGTTAGAGTAACTCTAGAATTATGATGAACATCTGAAAGACAGAGGTCATAAGAACCTATCCTCTTGGCTTGAACAAAGATAACAGAGGAGTTAATAGCTCTGAGACAGTTCTGGCTTCTTCATTTGAGTGACAGAAGGAACTGCCCAAGAATTAATGGTTTGGAAGCATTGCCTATGCAGTATATCTGTCAGTATTTTATCAGGATTGAGCAATCAATTATGCAAATAGGATACAGTTGGGAGGGAGTGTTTGCATAAGTCACATAACTGTTTTAGAAAGCCAGCCTTGGATCACTTCTCCCTCCTAATATTACCAGCTAGCAGGAGTCATGTAAAGGTCTCTGAGGGTACACACTTTCTTTCCTAGATTAGGGATACTTTGCAAACTGACTATGTTCCTACCAGCCTCCTTTCAACATGTAAGTGTACTAGCTTTATTATAAGACTGAGCTGTTTAAAAAGAAAATAAAAAGAAAACATACTTAGGGGCATCTATTTTGAGCTTCCATTTAGAATAGTAGCTAAATAACTACTTCTGCCACACATCTTTGCAACACCAAACACAACTGACTTCACTGCAGTTTCTGGCCTCTCATGGGAATATAACCTCTCATAGTTAATGGGAATATAGTGAAGCAGAATCTCAAACTATTATGCCATCTATACTACCCAGTATTGCCTGACAGCATCTCTTCATGTTCTCATGATAATTGGCTCATTAGTGATAACTCAGATCATTGCAAAGTAGCTTTGGATAAGGAGCAATCCTACACAGGCTGTTCTGTAAGATGTACCACTTTGAGATGGGTCATATTTTGCCATGTGGAGGAACAGAACTTCTAAAAATTAATAGGTTCCATCTGCTTCATAGGCTTTTTTATATCAATGGTATTTTGAAAGTACTGGGATCCAATTAATTAACAATTAATTAATTAAAATGTTCCTAAAGAGAAAAGGGAAAACAATATCAGCCCTAGAGTTGATGCAGTTATTTTTACTCCCATTGACACTGGCACAAAAAAGAAAGGAACACAGATTCTCCATTTTTTTTGCTCGGTTACATGCTAAACTTAGGAAGAGTTAGTTTCTCCTCTGTGCAGTCTTCCTGTCATATTCTCAGAGTTTTGATATTCTCCCATGAAATACTCCTGTTAGGACAGGGGTCTCAAACTTCCAGCCCATGGGGCGGATACATCATGCTGAAACCGCGCCACCCCACCTCTGGCAATGGGGAAAAAGTTGCGATACATCGTGACACGTCACGTGACGTTGCGAGTTTGACACTCCTGTGTTAGGAGTACAGTATAGTATATAAGAATAGTATATTGTTCTTTTTTTTTTTTTGCATGGAAATTAAGCCTCACTTGGAAATAAGGCTCACTGCATTCAGTAAATTAACTTACACAGTAGGTTATTGTACATTGGGTTGCCATTGCACTATGCAAAGAATTACCTAGGATGCACTAAATAAAATATTTGTTTCTAAATAAACATTCATAAGATTATATTGCAAGTATTAATAAACTCTTTATATTTATGCCACAATTGAAATAATTATTTGTCCTTTATCTGAGCTGACACCTGCAGTAACCCTATGTTACATCACAACACTATAATGTGGTTTTTGTTTTCGACCTGTTGCTCTAACAAATCATCAATTTATTCACTGATCCCATTCATACAATAATGAATAAACTCTCATCTGCTAGACTAGCAGGTCCAAGTTAACTTACTGAATGTGGTTTAGTGGGATTTGTGAATACTGATATAAGGCATGTGGGTTTCCTGATTTCTTCCTGATTATTTTTACCCAGAGATGGGCATCCTTTTTATGCTGAGGACCACAGTGCCTTACATGTAAATTACTCTGGAATTTGAGGTAGGCAAATGGATATGGAAGCAGAAACAATCAAGCAATGGAGAGAGCTAAAAGTTACCCTCTCATATTAGGTTTCTCCCTCTTCTCTCCCCATCACCCTCTTTTCTCTCTTACAAGTTGCAGGCCACAGGGAGTACTAAATAGTCTTATTAGCAATGTGACACCTTTTAATAAATTTTAGAAATGAGATTCAGGACAAGAAGTTAGCCTGAGGATTAGATATGGTATTTTATAGGTTATCTGGTCCTCCACACATGTGTAAAGAAAGAACAGTGTTAAAAAAGGAGGGGAAACAAAAAAGGGAATGATGGTTTGCTTCAAGATTAGGAATTGTTTCTGACTTGTTCAACAAACTGTGGCTAAAGAACACTCATTGTTTAATTTGACCATGTTGATCTCCTTTTATTACTCTTGAAGCAACTTCAGCATCTGCTTACTTGTATATTGATGTGTAAAAATCAATCAAGAGAAAATATGGGCGATCACTGCAAAGTCCACTTCCAGTTCCATGCATGATGCAAAAATTTCCCTAAGGTCTTTTCCAACCAAGATACTCTCCAGAGGTGCAGATGGCACAATATTAGTTTAGAAGCAGATTCCCCAAAGGAAAGCTTTGTGCAATATCCTGCTTCTTTATTTTCCAAATTAATTCTAAATGCATATATTCTAAACCTAATATTTCAACATTGTATTCTTTGGTGTACAACTAATAAGCAAATCATAAAATGCACAAAATATGAATTAATAGAAATTTCAGTAATCTTCTAAAAACACTAAAAGCGAACAACCAATTTAAAACTAGAGCTTTTTGGTATGACAGGGATTCATGTATTTTAAGAATTATTTTTACTGGATTTTTATATCAGATGAAATAAGTAATGAAAATCCACAAATTTATAGAAATGATCAAATTTGCCACATAAGCCCCTGCCCCATTTATTCAGTGGAAACCAAACAGCACTATAAATAATGTCTTTAGCTATGTAGTTAGAATGGTTTTTACTCAGAACAAAACATCCCTCCACTATTATTAATGGAGTAAAAGGGAATGTATCTATCCTTCATTTTCTTTGTTTTATTGCTTTTCTAAATGTGAACAAAATAAAGAACTCCTCAAAATACTTAAATAATTGGAAAATAAACTTAACACTCCAACAGATATGTTGTAAGCACACTTCTGTTCTTGACAGTACAACACACAACTTTTAAAAGAAATATCTCAAGTATGAGCAAAGTTGAGATATCACCTTGCAATCTCAAATGGACTTTTTTTTAAAAAGGGAGGGGGCATTCATTTCACTCATTATCAAATCCTGGAGTACTGTTTGAACATCTTGACCTCATATTGAACACAAAAATGTTTCTAAAACCGAGCTGTAAAGTTGAGGCAATAAAATGAATGAGATTCCCACAGAAATGTGCAATATTTAAATAACTACTTCTGAAAGGGGAAAGAAACCTTTTCTTCACATCAATACTTCAGCTGCCTTCAAATTAAATTAGGATGAAAATCAAAATGCAGAGAACTGGCAGCTATAGGACACATTCAGTGATACTCAGGAGAAGGGGGGGCGGCGGGAAAGGGAAGAGGAGGAAGAGAAAAATTACCCAGGACTCTGTCTTCCAATTGGAGGTCAGCATCAGCATCATCCAAAGAAAAAGATCAAAAATATACCTTGTATCATATGAATGCATATTTCCCAATGAGTTACGGTGAGCACTTGAACTTATGTTCAGTCTGGAAAGGATCAACTTGCTTTTGTGAGCAATGTGCAATACTTTTCCTGGGAGCCCCATTTTCCATAAGTAAGCTTTTCCTCCACGCAATAATACACAGAGAAGGTTCACACAACCAACCAAAGGAAGAGGGAAGCAATTGGGAATCTATTTGACAACTGCAGCTGCTCGACAAACATCTCCCTCCCTTCCAAGAAAGCAACCCTTAGGCCAGGAGTCTTTGCTCCTCTTGAGCTGGAGTATCTCTGCAGCTGAGCAGCAGTTAGCTGAAGCTTGGAACCGGTTCACGCTGTTAGACGGCTTGCCAAAAGAAGATGTTACCAAAAGACAGAAAGGTGGTGGTGCGGGGGAGCAGACAGATCTTGCCCGCTGCGTTTTTTTTCGGGACACCCTCTTGCCTCAGAGAAGTTGGTCATACTTAGAAGCGAATGCCTGCAGCCCGCGCCCCTACACCCGCCCCAACACACACACGCGCACGCACGCACACCGCCTTCGCATGCAATCGCCTTTGCATTATTATCAGCCAGTGGCAGATGAGACCCCGGTGAAGACTTTCCAACGCCCAGGGAGCGCGAGGTGGACTAGTCCTTCAGCTACATGACGTCCGGACCAGTCAATCGCAAAGAGCGACCGGCTTGAATTTGATTCACAAGCGGGGGTAGGGGACAGAATTGAGAGGTTTCTTTCCGCAGCGCTCCCAGCTGACGGGAAGGGACGATCCCAAGTCAACGACACCTCGGCGAAGGGCAGCCTCGCTACTCACCAGCTGCAGCGTGCAAAGGAAGATCAGCGTACAGCGTCCAGTGCAGCATCCCATGGTAGAAGCTCGCCGGAGCGGGGGGCGCCCTTTTTTCCCGTTTCTGCAGTTCCCTCCGAGCCCCAGCCAGGCACCGCTCTCACCGCATCCGGACAGACACCCCCCCTCCCCGCTGCTCTCGCCTCGTGCGCCGGTCAAATCCCTTTGTTTAGAAGCAGGGAGGGGGATCTCCTTCGCTTCAGCCCCGGGGAAGGAGATCAGGAGAGCTGCTCGCGGCGGAAGGAGGCATCCAGCTCTTGCTAGTGCCCCTCAGCTGGAGCGGGAGGCTGAGGGTGGGCGTGTGGCTGGAGGGAGGAGGAAGGGAGATGAGTGGGGAGGGGGTGCGCGTGTCTCGGCGTGTGGTGTCAGGCGAACCTATGAATGAGACTTGTGAATGGTGAAACCCGCGACCGGGAGGGCGGGCTTTCGGAATTGTCAATGGCCGAAGAAAGGAAATGTGAATGGGTCTGCAGGGAACCTTTGGCCGGGAACCCGACTACGAAAAGCCGGCAGGTGTTTCCCGCGGGATGAGTGAAAAGGAAAGGAGGGGGACCGTGTTTAGGGAGCCCTCGCGCTCAGCGGCAAAGCGGAGACGGGTCTCGGTGCCGGGAGAGGGGGCTGCGCGAAGAGGGGGCTATTGTTGAGAGGAGGCGCGGCGGGGGTGAAGCGATGAGACAGTCCGCCCGAGGCGTGGCCAGAGGGAGGGGCTTCTTCCGTCGCCTCGCCTCGCACAGGGGAAAAGTGAACGGGGTGGGTGGGGATGGAGTGTGCCTCGGAGGCAGCGCGCGTGCCTAATTGCGAGGTGGGTGGGAGTTAAAGGACAAGAGAGCCGAAGAAGGCGAAGGGCTGGCCCGAAAGACCCCGCAGGATCAAAGGGTTCTGCTCGCTGCGAGGCTCCGGCGGAAAGCTGAACCTCAAACTAATATTGAACTCTTCTACAGTTTGCGTTTAACTACTAAGCCAACCGCAACTGCAAGTCGGTGAAAGCAAGTGATCACATTATTCTAACGGGAACTAAACTCGCACAATCCACTAATGGAGCAGAGCTTTCAAGGAGACCAATTTCTAATATAAAGGGAAAAAGCCCACAGATTTAAAGAAACTAGTGTGCATGCCATTTATTTCCCATATGCTTACCGCAAACCAAAGTGCACACTATGCAGGGCTAGGGTGGTGTACAAGCCTTTGCGTACAGTATGCAGCCGGTATGGACACATTTTCAAACAAAATATACCCACCTGGTAAGAGAATAACAAGGGATGTGTCCTTTTTTTCTGACAGTCCTACTGTTTGTCTGACATGGGAAAACAAAAGAAATCTCCACAAAGAACTTGAAAGTCATAGATCTCCATTAAATGTGAAATCACAGGTGTGTTCCTTAACATAACTTTGGAAAGAAATATTGAGGCTATGAGCAGAGTTGAGATTTCATCTTGCAGTCTCAAAGCTGCAAAGAAAGCAAAACAAAACAAACATTCAATTTTGAATGCTGCTTGAACATTTTGACCTCATATTGATCTAAAAGCCAGCTGTCAAGTCAAAACAATAGAAAGAGTGTGATTTCCACAAAATGTGCATAACTCTGTTTAAATAATCAATTGAAGCACGTTGTAGCAGTGGAGGAAATCTTCGTCATATCACATGGCTATTTCAGATTGCCTTTGTACATTACACATCCATGTTTTCAATAAATCCCAATGAACATTTTGGGATGTTTTATGTGAACAGGATAAACTTCTTTTCATCAGCAATATGTACTAGCTTTTCTTTCTCAACCAGTCAATGTTTCCTTCAAAATGTGTAGCATACACTAGTAACAAATGCAGTGTTCATACTTCCAAATCCAAGAAGACAATAGACCTCTTTGTCCCTCTTTAAAAAATGATCTTAAGGCCAATGGAACACTTGGGACTGTTCTTTTGGAACATCCCTATAGCTGAATAGCAACAATTAACTTGCTAAAAATTATTTATTAGACTTTTATTCTGCCTTTGTTATATAAAAGAAATTCAGACAGCAAACATGTCTAATACTCTTTCCCCCTCCTATTTCCCCATAACAGCCCTGGAGGGGATTAGCTGAGAGACAGGGTGACTGGTCCAAAGTCACCCAGCCAGCTTTCATGCCTAAGGCAGAACTAGAACTTACCATAGAATGGCAAGCCAGCACCTTAATTACTGTACTTTCCCTACAGTGTGGGAAAGGACCCACACTATTTATGGTACTATACAATATTGTACAATATCCAGGTAAAAATGATACCATTGGCTAGAAAAGGAAAACAAATGGGACTCAGTCTCACCTTTGCCTCAGAACACTTGTAATGCCTACAAAAAGAAATGTGGTTGCCATCATAGTCTTCCTAACTGTACCTGTACAGTTGGTGAGGCTTCTGGTATTGATAGTTACGTTTTCTTATTTATTATATATATGCATTGTTTATTACAGTGTTTCTGGCTTATGATCATCATATTGGATAGTAACTGCTTCTCTGACTTCTAATGAAGTTTATAAATGTCACTGTACTACTAAATCCTTGAGTCTGTTTCATTGTTTGTAATCAACAACAGTGCATCATAGGGCAACAATTTTTGAATTAACATGTCTCAAATGAGTTAACATACAGAATGTGCCCATGACTTCCATGGGATTGATATTAGGAAAGTCAATGGAGTAGCTGATAGGATGTTGGAAGTTGCTTCCGCTCCCATTGCTTTTATCCCTGCCTATGTTCATTCTGTTTCTTTATTTTAGTAAGGCAATATCTCTGAAATAATGGACCAACAGGTCACAGGTTGTGTAATAGAATGTGGGGCTGATCTTGGGGAATGAGAGGACGAGATGTTGCCTAGGAAACAATGAAATTGATATCTCAGCTATCCCAGGTAAATCTGACAGGAAAGAAGACTAGATGAGTCCCAAAGCTGTGGACTTTCTTGTTTTTCTTTGAAGATGTTTCACTTCTCATCCAAGAAGCTTCTTTAGCTCTGACTGGAAGGCTAGATGAGCTAATTCTACTTTATTATAAGTCTACATTAACAGAATCATGCCAGTCTGAAGGTACAAAGTCCCACCACCACCTTTAGCTGTCTGATCAATTAGGGCATGTCCTTCCTAAATTTCTGACTGTTATGCCCTTGGAGGCTCCTCCATCTCTTATTTGAATGTTTCCTAGGCAGCCTTTCTTTGTCTCATTCCTCAGGGTTATCTATGCATTTCATTACACAAGTTGTATAGTATCAATACGAAAAGAAAATTGTCGATATTCTTGTTATTTGTTAATACAGTCCAGTCCCATCAATTTTACAGTGACTGGACAAAACTGTTGTAATATAATGTGTCATATTGAACCTAGTAATCATACATCTGATCATTCTGGACAGCACCATGGATCTTATTTTTTCATATTCATTTGTTTCCTATTTTTATGTGGCATCTTCATGGAAACATCATTAAATTAAAAAGCATCTCTTATAACATACAAGTAATGAGAGTCAAAGAGTCAACAACTTGGTTGCACTGTAAGGCAAAGGTGTAGATCTAAAGCATGAATCTTGATGAATTTGCATGAGTTCTGTGAAAACTCATGTGATGTTGGCTCTTAATAAAATAGCATTGAAGTTGGTAACTGTTTCCTGTTGTTTCCTGTAAAATTTGTCACAAAGGTCAGTCAAGAAAGTGAGTTGCTCAAAAGTTGCTATCATGCTGAATCTTAAACTATGTGCAGAATGCTTTATATAATCTATGTCTACAATATTTTGCTCACAGGATAATTATTATTTTAATATAAATGTCAAGTCAAAATCTAATTTTAATAAAAATTATTATTTTTTGGAAAATAGTAATGCATTCTAAATGTAATTGAATTAGGATGCTGAATACTACAAGCAGATTTGAATATGCCAAACCATATGTCTAGGAGGGGATCCTCTATAATATCCAGCTCAACTATATACAAAGGAATTGTTTCTGAACTAGTAAGGCACTAACAAACATGACACATGACATATCTTAGGCCAAAGAACATAGAAAAGAATAAGAAGCAACATGTTTACACTACCCTGCCAGCTTTGGGTTGCTGCTTATCATACAGATATCTCAGTGTGGGATTCAGCCAGTTCGTACCAGTTCGGCAGAACCGGTAGCTCATTTTTTGTTGCCCAGGCCCAGAATGGACTTCCAGAAGCAGCATCCACACAGAGAACTGGTTGTTCACATATTTGAATCCCACCACTGACATACCTATATAAGAAACTGAAATAAATCATACAATCACACTGCAGTAATCCAAAATGGGGCTATGGAATTATTTAAATAAGCTTACTTCTCATAAATGTTTCTCACTATCAAAAGTTTAGAAAATAACAACACGGCTCTTTACTTTTTGTTAAGTACTTAAAAAGAGTAATACAAGTTTGATAAAGGATCTTGCTTAATCTCTCTTCATTATTACCATTCTCTGCCTTGTCTTCATCTCTGCAGAATGTCCCTTTGCTCATTCAAGCATAATGAATTAGACAGGTTTGGAACAGTCTATAATACCTCTTTTTTCTTGGAGTGTAAAATGGACCTATAGTAATACATGAATAATGTATTACCACTCCTACTAGTAACAATCTTCATGTTAGAAATAAAGAGCATCAGATTAAGGATGCTTGGTATAGAAGATCTTTGGTCCTATAGTAGATCTCTCTTTAATGGTTTCATATTGTATGAATTAGCTGCTGCAACATTTTTTGCTCCAATATTAACCTAATTAATAATGCTTATTCTATTGTTGCTCTCATTGGGCTGGGATTTTTAGCTTCTTCATTTGACTCATTAGAAGCAGAGCATGACATGATTTTTTTCCCATTTTTTTCCTGTATTCCTTCACTCTCAAGGGGATTAATGCAATCATAGATTCACAGATTTGGTTTTGGAAAGGCCCCTGGGGAGAATGACTTAGCCCAGTGACTCATTTAATTTGACAAAGGTAAATGAATCAAAGTGCAACCAAATAAGGTATTTGTATTAAACATACACAGAAAAATAATTTTGCCTATGAGAGTTAGTCTTGAAGCCTGAGCCACTGTCCTTTTAAGCATTAGGATTTTTTCCAATGGGATAGAAACATTTTAATTCATGACCTGAACAGTTGTTGGAATAAGAATATTTTTCTTGAAGAATATGTAAAACTTCAATGTAATTTCTCAATCTTTGAGAATTGTTATTAATTAATTGAAAAATATAGATTTTCCCTATTATATATGAACCAATTGTCTATAAATTGCTCAATTCTAAAACCTGAAAGTTTAGAAATTCATATACAGGTACAGAAATGCTGAATAATTTTTTCCAAGGCATCTACAAAATATCATTAGGATGTAAATTAAGTATATATACATAAAATAGTTCAAATTTTCCTCTTTATGTAATATTGATGAAATAAAGTTTGAAATTATATATATATAATCTGTGAGTCTTCTGGAATTAATGAGCAATTCATTGTTTGCTACACCAGTATTTTACTGAATTCAGTGAGTTATCTGAGAAGACATTAATAGCAATTGTTTTGTAATGAATAAACTGAATAAATTGCCAAACTCTTTAAGAAAAATTGCTGACCACATCTGTTGCAGACATGGTAATTTAGGT